ACCGAAAATACAATCAAGAGTACAAATGTGAACATCTTTAGAATTTACAAAAAAGAAAAATACCAAACTCAGCAAAAGAAAAATTCAACGTAAATTCCAAGGAAATAGTTAACTGAAAGACAGCTGTAAAGAATGTGTGCAAAGAGAAAAAGAGCAAAATACGCATGTCATACTTGCAGCAGTGAGATTGCAAAAACATTAAATAAAAAAGTAAAAACACGAAGAAAAGAAAGCAAAACTTGTATCGATAAAAATCTTAATTGAAACGAACTTATATACATATACATAATTACTTATTCCATTTGTTCGTTAACATATTTTTTCGTTACACTTTCAGTACGTGGTCTCATGTATATCATTATAATTCAATTTTCTTCTTTTTTTTTTATTGTTTATTTATACATTTTCCCCCAAGGTCCTTTTCGTCCAACTGCACTAATTATAAGTTTCGGGCTATAAATGGGTCACGCCAAAATCGACGGTGCAGAATTTGCGTCACAGCGAGCCCGTAATAACAGTTTTTTGGTGAATTCGTGTGAAAACTCTCTTAGCCCCAATACTGTCCACTAAGTACCGCGTCTGACGTCCTCCGCTAAATTACCGTCAATAATTTAAGGATTCTTATGTATATAATTTTTCATAATAATCAGTGCATGTTGCGTCCGCGTCTGAAATTGCTTCCAAGTGCTCATGAAGAAAAAAAAAATTCAGAACAACTACAATTTTATTACCTAATCAGTTATTCCTAATGACGTTTCGCAAATTACTCCATTTTCTCTCTCTTTCTCTCCCATCTCCTTGGACCACACTCGTATCTGTAACACGTTAAGTGCTTTTTGCGAACCGCTCAGCCCTAGAACTTGTGCAACGGCGGAAATGAGACATGAAACAATCTTGAGCAATCTCGCGAGATGATTTATAAAACACGGCTATTCGACGAACGTTCGCTGGATATTCGACGTTTTTCAGCTTGTTCGAGCAACTAGTTCCACAATTATCAGCGACAGGACATCTCTATATGTAAGACCGTACAGAAACCCGTCATGAAAATGTCGTAACTCTCGGCCGGTACTAACTTGTGTTAGATAATTTTATTTGAATTTTAATTAGTCGATAGTTATCGGCAATATCGATCGAACTCTAACGAGCTCGCTATCTGGTTTATCATCGTTTTTTCCCCACATCCTCCGTGTACCGGGAAACGGCAAAACGAAAAAACAACCACCCATGCAGCGGCTCGTGCATGCTTATGGTAATCGCGACCGATTAAATTTGTTCTGGTTTTTTAATTGTTTCGTGTCAGGAGTTCCAGTTTAATGACAGAACGTGGACTGATTGCGATTACGTGCCGAAGGGAATTAGAAGAACAGAAACGGTCTCGTGGGCGTTCGGCCGTTGTCAATTAAGTTTCACTCCATATAGGGTCTAATGCCTCAAAACGTACCGGATTGTCTAACGCTCGACTTATTAATCTTCCCCCACCACCGCGCGCCACATCAATGACAATCCTTTTAATTGCCAATGCGGTGAAAGCACTCCCTTAAATCTTAAATCAACACCAGTTTTTTTCTCATTTTTGCATCTTACATAAACTGCCATCGTAATTTCGCTCTAACTACCATGTACATGTACCATGGTGGATAGATAAAGCGGCGCGATGTCGTAAAGACATGTACACAGTAGGTGGAATTTGTGTCAGTTTTTTCAGTCGAATCGTGATCTGCGATTGGGTAACTCGAACCAATTTCAGGGGCTCTGCTCAAACAACGGCCTGAATATATCTTCTCGTGTGTAACACGCAACGTCGCTTATGGTAATGGACTCTTGTCGTCTGTGGAGGTGTTTAGTCACCGTGAAAAATATTCTTTATCATCTCGAACCCTTGCTGCATTTAATTGCCTGTCATAAAATCCATTCCTAGCACTTGTAATCGCGTGTTCCGCATTCTATTTTTTGCCCGACGAAGATCACGGGGAAGATAAGCAGTGGCGTGCCCAGTGGAGGCGTACGGGCCTTAAATAGACACAATAGGTGTTAATTGTTTAGCGAAACCATAGCCGAGATAAGTTGAAAGCAGACAAAGGTATGACGAAGGCACTACCCACAAGGTTGCACATTTGTAACGAGAAATAGGAAGTTTGGCTAATCTTGCTAATGATCGACGTCTCAAAGAAAAATCGGTTTGTAACGTCGTGCTTCATTTCGTTCCACATTTTAGTTTCATCGTTGAACTAAGGCTTGTCCCAGAAAAAATTGTCGCATATTAATTTTGCGCCAAATTTTTAAGAAAAGAGATTTTAAAAATTTTATTGGCTAGTTGTGTTCAAAAATAACTAAAGAACATGTAACAATCAACATATTAACATTAACTATGATTCATCCAGAAATTACGCACTTTTCTTTTCACTCCCTCCATTAAGCGTTGTACATCATCATCACTTAAGAGTTTTGATGTTTCTTTCCACTTTCGTTTAAAATCAGAAACTGATTTAGCATTTTTTTATGTTTTAATGATTTCTGCTTCATTCTGGACCAGTATCTTTCAATGGGGCGCAAATGGGGACAGTTGGGAGGATTCTCATTTTTCTCGATAAATTCAATTTGTCTTCTTTTTAGCCAATCTGTAACATTTCTGGCATAATGACAAGTTTCCAAGTCGGGCCAAAATAGCACGGGCTTATTATGAAGTCTTAAAAAAGGCAACAATCGTCTTTGAAGGCACTCCTTTAGGTAAATTTCCCCATTTATTGATCCTGTTGAAAAATAAGGCACACTGCGTTTGCCACACGAAGAAATGGCTTGCCACACGAGTACATTTTTAGCGAATTTTTGAGTTTTTATTACTTTAAACTCATTGCTAATAGATTTCCTGTCTTTTCCTGAATAGTAGTGATGACCGGGTAGCGATTTAAAATCCATCTTACAATATGTTTCATCGTCTAAAATGAAACAATAATTTTTTGACGTCATCCGTGAATAAAGTTTTCTCACTCTTGACTTGGCGACGGTTTCTTGCTTGCAATTTCTGTTAGGGGCTTTTGTTTTTTTAAAGGACTTTATAGAATGTTTGCTCTTAATTCTATGCACTGTTGATTTAGTAGTTCCAAATTTTTTAGCCAAATCTCTTACAGAAAGGTTCGGATTCCTTTTTAAGGCTGCTAACACATTTTTTTCAATTTTCTTGTTCACAAATCCCTGTTTCCGTCCACTTCCGCTCTTCCTTCGTGTGTTCCCCATTTCATTATATCTTTTTAATGTTCTTTGGACAGTTCTTCTGGATGTTCTTAACTCTAAAGCTATTTTTTTTGTTGATATGCCTCTGAATTGAACCCATTTGTACAATATTTCTTCACGTAACTGTTCTTGAGAAAACGACTTCTTTGTTAAATGTGACATGACAGTTACAACTAATTGTTTTTATTTAATACACAGCCTCCTAAGTAAAATGGCATATTTCAAAACTTTTTTAACTGAACGGGGAAACTGCGGTAGAAGGAAATTTGTGCGTCTATTTTTTCGGGGACAAGCCTTAAATCATCCTTTAATGTCGTGAATAGCACCGGATTAATCGCTCCTCCCTGCCTCAACCATCACATGTAACACTAGATATCTTCAACGCGGTAGCTATTTTGACATTTTGATACTAGGTTAACGTTAAATATCCAAAACTCGCGATGACATTTGGAAATTTACAGATACACATTTCTGCATTGTATTTAGATCGACCCATTGCACGGAAATTTACGGAACCAGTTCAATGCAAAAAATCACTCGGCAAGGTGCAAGCAGATCACGTTTTTACGTAACGTAACCACGTTAATTATAAGTGCATTATTTAAAATAGTTTCACACTTTCTTATTATCTTGATGATTGATGGTTTGCAAATCATTTTCACGAGATCCATGATTGCAAAATTAGGAGAGCATTGAAGGCGAGATTTTGAGACGGAAAAATCCAGGATGATTTATTATGGATTTTCGTTTTAATTATCAAGCGGAATAATTCACCGTGAAAAGTTCTTTGTCCATTTCGAACTCTACCTCAACAATTATAAAATGAATTTATTACTGTGTAAATAATTAATGGAAAAAAGGAGGGAATGAAGAGAAGGCATCAACCATGAAAGATTGCCGTTGTTGCAATAAAGTCATTAACGAAGAATTTCAATATTCTTTTTCGTCCTGTTAGGCGGCATTTTTCGAAGATGCTTCCGAACGATTAATAACGCAAACAATTAACTTGCGTGGAATACAAGAGCAAATAGGCTCGCACCCGATTGAACCACGTTTCTTTAGAATGTCGCGTTTTTCTCGTTTAGACAAACACCAAAAGAAGATCCGATTACCAAATTCCACATTACTTCCAATAAAAAGCACATCAAGTATGAAATGTATTCAGTCACACTATTTTAGGCACGGTTTCTTTTTCGCCAGCTTTCACACAAGCACCGATGGCGCCACCAGCGCTCATAACCTTAAACTAACTCTTTTTCTTCTCTTTCTTTTATGCCCTCGAGTTGCCGGTCCACTTCAACCACGCAGCGATAAACTTCATTAAGGGCAGTAAAACTGATGGCTCATAAAGACTTTTCGAAAAATAAAATCGTAAAATAGCCGAAGGAAAGTGGGACACATAAACGTTTCAATTATAAATAACCGTTGAGCCAATATCGAACCATCTTTATAATAATCATTATTGATGATGATTGGATTTGTGCATTAATCGAAGCGTGCACGGGATTAAATTAAGTCTGCGAGGGAGAAATTAGAAGACCTACAATCGCACAATCGAAACTAACGTTCGGTTTTTGTTTTATTTGCTTCCTTTCCAATGCCTATTATGATTCTTCTTCTCCACTCACTGCCGTGTTTAATTGTGGCCACTTTTAATGACACTGCGAAATAACCGGCAACAGATGGCGCGTGGTCACATCTCACTAACGCCTGAGTGCCGCAGCGAAGTATATATATCCGCGACTGACGCTGTCTCTTCTTTGCAGGTTTCTTCGCCGTCCCTTCCAGTGCGGCTAGAAATGCCAGCATCACCAAGTGCCTAAACCGCAGCTCAAAATCTGTGATAATGGATATAACCGAAGCGTTCCGCAGCGAGGACATAACAAAAACTGATTTTTTCGATTTCGTGGTGACGCCGGATTCGAACGACACCCACTCCATTCAACAATTCACCAAGCAGATGCGTACAGTGAACGCGTTCCTAGGTAACACGAGTCCCGAAGGCAGCAAAGAAACGAACAACAACATGTTGACGACAGAAATGAATCACGTCCCCACGACGACGTCGGACGGCAACTTCGATTCGAACTTCTGGAGCGACAAAGAGACGGTTCGGATAGAAACCGCCATCTTGGAGGACCTGAACAAGTACTGCTGGAGCGGCGAGGAGGGGAACGGGGTGGTCGCTAACCAGAAGGGCGGAAACACCGACGGGCAGATCTACACACTAACAGTATTAAACGGGATAGACCAGAACGCCACATGGTACAGGCCTCCCCTATCTGCCATAGGGATAGTCAAGGAGGAGGACGTCAGTCCGGGCTCGATGGAGCCCCTCCAAGGGGGCCTGGACATAGACTCGATCCTCAACATCATCCCGGGACAGATGAACGGTTTCAACAACAACTACAACGAAAGTACAATGAGTCCAAATACCGATGGGCTGATCAAGTCGGAAACCTACACGTACGAAGATAGTGGGTTCGCTGACAATAAAGACGAATTAGCTAATTCACTTATTATAGATACGCCTCTGCTCGAGGCGCACGATAGTTTTAATAATAACAATAACGATTGGAAATTAAGTAATAATAACACTACTAATAACGGTTCGCCGGATTCTTTGTTACGTAGCGCTTTGCAAGGTAAAGCTTTCGTACGTTATAATGGAACTGTGAAGACGAACAAAGTCGAGAATAATACGGAGTTGAGGCGGGTGTTGTCGACGCCCCCGGCCAAAACCGAAGGCATCTACATCAAAGAAGAACCACAGGAACACATACCGACGATAGTCGCCGGAATCGACGCTAACGGTAAGGTGGTCTTCGAAGAGCACATGCCGCAACGGACGGAAGAGAGCAACCCCGCCGGCTCGCACAACGTCGACGACCTACTGCTGTCGCAGCTCGACCAGTCGTTCCCCGAAGACTTCGAGAAGCTGAAGAGGATCGCGAACGAGGTATATTTACTTTCATTCCGCTTTCGCAGTATCCGTACGAAATTGTCGATTTCTTCCAGGTGGCCGAGTCCGTGAACCAGTACTGCCAGATCGACACCTCCGCCGACAACGCCGTCTATAGTATTAGTTCCGATCAGATCGGCCTCCTCAACAACCTCAACTCGCCCATCCAGATCGCCGCCCCTTCCGTGACCAGCAGCAAGCCCGCGACGAAGAAATACAAGCGTTCAAACAGCAGCACCAAAGCACAAACGACGGTACAAAACGCCACCTCGACCAGCAACGGCGTGCGCAAGGAGCGGTCCCTGCACTACTGCAGCATCTGCTCGAAGGGCTTCAAGGACAAGTACTCGGTGAACGTGCACATCAGAACGCACACGGGCGAGAAGCCGTTCGCGTGCAGCCTCTGCGGGAAGAGCTTCCGGCAGAAGGCGCACCTCGCCAAGCACTACCAGACGCACATAGCGCAGAAGAACGCGGCGGCCGCCGGCAGCGTCGCCGCCGCCAAGGCCAAGTCCAGGTAGCTCGGAGGCGGCCGACGGAGTGTGGGGGCGGCGCCCCTCGGTACCTAAATTATTTATTTATTTATTCTAGACTCGGCCGGCGACATTCCGTCCACGCACAAATCCCTGCCGATCATTGGTGACTTGAACAGCAACGAAAAACAAATACTCATCGCGTACTACAATTGTCAAATTTGCCGATTTGCCAATTTTGTTCCTAGCATTGTTTGTTTTGTTGATTTTTTTTTTATATTACTATGTGCTGTGATTATGTGAAATTTATTCAAAAGTAATCGGAATTTTGTGTATTTATTGTATGGAGATCTGCCTAAAATTTCTTGCCATTTCTGTATTATCGCGTACTTGGTAAAATTTAGTTCTTTTAATTTATTTATCGTACGTTTAGGTTGTTGCGCGGGGCGGGGCGGCTAATTGTTTCTGTCCGTTTCCTAATGTTTAAAAGTATTATTGTTCCGCCTCCGCTTAGGTTACTCGACGGTGCTTCGACGAAGCATTTAATCTAGATACAGGCTTTTAGTTATGCTAGTGCCTAGTTTTAGGAAAACTTCAGTTTACCATATGTCAAGGCATTAAATGACCTTTTTACCTTATAATACTCACTTTGTAAAATAAAAACGTTATTTTGTATATTGACTAGTATAATTGTTGTACACATTGCAAATGTGAGTACAAATGCGACCGGGTCGCCTAATTTGTTATTTTCTAATCCTTACCATCTTAGAATTGTTATCTATGTTATAAATGTTTACGTATGTTACAATTGTTTTGTAAATCGATCATACTTAATGCTCTTGTTTACTAATTATTTTGTATTATAATCAGTATTTGTTGATTTTTTTTGTAAATGTTCTTAATTCTATTTATGACAGTTTGCCATGGTAAAGGGATTTATATTATTATTATGTTTTTTGTTCTATTTGGATCTCATTCAATTTAGTTTTTTTTTGCTTGCTTCATCGGCTCATTACTGCCAACGTTTCTCAACTGTGTTCTCTCTGAAAGACAATACTCAAATAGACTACATATACGTACGAAAATATGTACATCCAGACACTTTTTTATATAAACTTTTGTTTATATTCGCCATAGAACATGTTTTTTATACTCAGTTTACGTTATGTATAGTTATATCAGATTTTATCTCCTCTTTATTATTGATTTTATAAAGTATTTTTATACCTAGATTCATATATTTACATTTTATAACTTTTTATTATATAATAATGTGAACTTATTACAAATAAACAATATTTAAAAAATTAGTCCAAGGTTATTTCAACACAACATTCCTCACCCTTAAAGCATAGTCCGATAGCATATATTTAAAAATGTAGATATTCTCAATTTCTCAGTACATGCTTAACATGTTTCCCTCTATCCTTCGAAAGAAGAGATTTCACAGCATTCAGTTTTGGCAATTTCAAAGTTAAAAAGTAAAATATTGTTACACAATTTTGACTTCTTTGTCTAAAACCCTGAATGCTGTGATAACCCACTTGTAAAAAAAAATTGGAAGCCCGCGAAAAATTTAAAAATTCAAAATTTGACCTTGGCTGTGATCGTCTGACAAAATGGAACCCTACGTTGTGTTTTTTGAAAAATAGCGGGGTGGACCCCAAGGTTGGAAAAGTACCGCTAAATAAAACACCAAATATATGGAGGACACAAAATTATTTATTTCTCCACTGACAAAAAAAAAAGGAAAAAAAGCTGCGTGTGAGGGTGACTCGTGGCTTACCCTCGGGCCGCCCAATGGGGGGCGAATCGCAATCGCTTCTCAACTCAAAAAAAAAAACTTATTGGACTTTGGATGAAACTTAAAAGGAATCAAATGCAGCGGCAGGGGCATCAGAGCGCTATAGAGGCGTTGTAGCACGAGCGGAGTTTGGGGCTCCTGGTCGTGGCTGTTCTCCTACCCACGACGGTGATTCTTATTTATCGCAAGCACTGTCCCCCAGCACCCCAAGAGTGTCTAAACGAACAGGCCGTTACAGTTGCAAACTCGCAATTAGGTCTCGACTCTTGGGCCAAGTCGACAGCGTTATGTCATCTCGACCGCCCCTAAATTCTATTCTAACCTGCATCTTTTGTGCAGATGGCGCGATAAATCCCGCCAGCTCGACTAGGAACCGCGCACTCCGCTTCCACGTGTTTTCGTGTTATTTAACCTCAATTCCATGAAGTTTCAAAAAGAGCAATAAACAATATTAAATAATTCTTATCTGAGATTAAAAATTGGACAATTTATATGATGCAAACATGAATCAACAAAATATTTACAAAATAAAAAAACTAGCAAAGATTTATAAAAGCAAAAGATCTGGTGTGCAGATAAAATATTGCGTGAGGTTAGAAACTACAGAACATGAAAGTTTATTCAATTTAAATTATACAAGAAAGAAAATTACAGAAGTTAAAATTGTAAGATAAAGAAAATTGCATGAGGTGAAAAATTTTAGACCTAATAAAATTACATGAGATCAGTATTTGCCACACTTTATCAACGATTCAAACAAAGAGTTTACATTTTGTTAATGATGCCTTGATCCAAGTGATTGATGACTTAAAACAATTAACTTTGAGAGTTTATCGTGGACTGTTTACCTCAAACAAAACACATAATAAATGAACACAAAATGCATCTGGCGTTGCGAGGAAAACTCCTCGGTGATGTAATTTTTAACGTTGCGAGAAAATAGGTTTCGGTGATGTAATCTTTAACGTTGCGAGGAAATGCCTCGGTGATGTAATTTTCCAAAACAAATCTAATGTCTGTTAAATTGTGCTAGAACCAGTTAGCGATTAAAATCCTAACCTGATCGGTGAATTCACAAACAATAAAACAAATTTACAGCACGTGTAGCGTCCGTCGAAAATTAGCACTTTTTCCGATTAGAAGCCGCAAGAATTAGCTACGCGTGTTGGGGAAAACGGTGGTGTTGTCGTCGTTACGATTAATTGTCGTTAAACAAAGGCTTCCGCCCTTTTATGAACTACCAAGCCAACTAATTTAACCTAGCTAACTTACAGCGTCTTTTTCACTCAAGCAGACTACACACTACCCAAAAGCGCTAACGTGCACATGTTTAACGATTTTTTTGATTGATTTTTTTTTCTCAAATTCAAATTATTCAAATGTGATTTTGCGCCGCTGTTAATTTTGTTTCAGCGCGAAATTTTAATTCAAATTCGATCACCACAATGCCAAAAGCAAAAACTCGACACGGATTCATAAAGCACAAGTGCAGAAGTACCGTATTGTGTAATAGTAATTTACTAATATAAATTTTAGAGATGACGTCATCCTATAGTTGGTCGGGGGGATGATCAAACATATTTTGGTTAGCGTTTTACCATCTACACATATTATTTGACAACAGAGAAACAGAAAGGTATAGACAGACAGACAGACAGACAGACAGATAGACAGACCGAAGCGGGGACCTATTTTTTCGTATTCTAGGGGTCCTGAAACGTCAAGAAAACACGTTTACCCTCACTGCCAAAACTAGAGGAAACTCTTAACCTATGTTCAAAGAAACTATTGTTATATACCTTGGTTTTACCAGAAAAAATTAACGCCTGTAAACAAAGGTCAATGAGCCTACCATTCTCAATACCAACTTACCATATTACCAATACCATTATTACTTTTTACCATGAAAAATACTTTGTAGTTATGCAACACACAATACATACACAAGCTCCCAGATTTTCTCATACAAATGAATTGCGCACTCGTTCATTTCGAGTTCTACTTTCGCATAGCAATTTTCTTTTTAATTAACAATGTAATTATAAATCCTCGAGCGAATTATGTGAAAAGTAATAAAACTTACCCTTCAACGCTGGACCTTCCATTGTGTCGTCACCATCCTTCACACTTTTCGCTCCGTTCCATGGGTTTCACACAAAAAGTTAATCACTCTCACATTTTCTTCACTATTTCACAATTTAAGTCAATTCAGTGCGTTTTAATTCGTTTTTTATCAATTTTTGCATCACAATTACGCCATCACGATCCACCATATTTAAAACTATCTTCCGACCGTCCAACGCACACTATGTTGTTAAAACACACGAAATTTTTCGCTGACAAAATATCAGCAAATTTTCCATTTCCACCACAGATTTTCGCAAAAAAGACACGAATTTCTTTAATTTGTTTCATATTTGTGGCGATTCAAGGGAAAATTTGCGTCACCACACCGCAAAAAAGTGGCACTACCGGGTGAAAGGATGACTCAATTTTCGGGGAAAAAATGCCAGCAAAACACAAACCGGGTGTTCTGGGTACGATTTTTTACAAAATTGGCGTTTTTAGTCGTGGATTGGTACGTTTTTCCCGAAAAAACTGCAATTTTCCGCGAAAAATCGCAAAGACGCCATTAACCGAAAGTCACCACCACCAACTAGATGATTTTTTAATCATCAGTGTCGTGGATGGCAAAAAATAGAAGTAAATAATTAAGATCGCTACCATAAAAAAATAAAATCGATCGCTTCGAAGCTTGACAGATGACACAATTATTTTTTACCATTCTGTATTTTTTTAAGTCAAGATTTAAGCTGAGGAGAAATAGGTGACTATATTGGTGGCAACTAAAAACAGAAAACCCAACTGTTCGTATTTATATTTTTTAAAATTTCATTGATGATAATACGGTTTTAGTAACAAATTGCGCAAGTTTATATTGTGTTTGACGTTTCAGTTGAGTAGGGTCATTTATGACCTGAATTATTTATTCTCATATTATAAATTAAAGTGCGAAATTCTTAAAAACCTGAAAATTTGAAAAATTGAACAAATGAAAAATTGTAAAATCAAAAAATAAACACAGAAAATAAAGGAAATGAAGAAATTGTGATATAAATCGAGAAAATAAAAATTAAAAATTCGCCACACTGAAAAATAAAAATCTGGAACATGAAAAATTGTGGAAACGAAAAATTCAGAAACTGAAAATTCGAAAAATTGAAGAAACGAAAAATTGAAAACTCGAAAGAAACAACAAAAAATAAAGGAATTGAAAAAATCAAAATTTGTGACATAAAATCGAGAAAATGAAAATTAAAAAAATCGGGAAAATGAAAAATAAAAATCGAGAACTTAAAAATTGAGGAAACGAAAAATTGAAAATGACAAAAATTAAAAACTGAGAATGTGAAAAATCGAAAAATGAGAAACTGTAATATCGAAAAATTGGAAAATTTGGAAGTCGATAAATTGTAAAGTTGAAAAATCAAAAATAAAAAAACGAAAAAGTGTACAATTAAAACCTAAAAAATGTACAAAGTGAAAATCAGACTTGAAAATTTGAAGAAAAATTGCTAAAAACCTGCATGTTTGAAAAATTTAATAAAGGAAAGATTTAAAATCGAAAGAAACAACAAAAAATAAAGGAAATCAAAAAAAGGAAAATTGTGGTATAAAATCAAAAAAGTGAAAATTAAAAAATTGGAAAAATGAAAAATAAAAATCGGAAACAAAAAATTGGAAACAGGAAAAATGAAAAATTGAAAAACTGAAAAATCGAAAAATGAAAATCTGTAATACTGAAAAATTGCCAAATTGAGAAACTTATGCAAACCGAAAAATTGAAGGAACGAAAAATTGAAAATTTTGGAAGTCGAGAAATTGTAAAATTGAAAAATCAAAAATAAAAAACGAAAAATTACAAAATGAAAACTTGAAAAATCTTAAGAATCGAAAAAGTGAAAAATCAAAAAAAAAATGTATTATGAAATAGAATATTTAAAATTAAAGAAATTGGAAAATCAGAAGACTGGAAATCCAAAAACTGCAAAGTGAAAAATGGACGAACTGAAAATTCAAAGCCTGAAAATTTGAAAAATTGAACTAATGAAAAATTGTAAAATCAAAAAAAAAACACAGAAAATAAAGGAAATGAAGAAACGGACAATTGTGATATAGATCGAGAAAATAAAAATTAAAAATTCGCCACACTGAAAAATAAAAATCGGGAATGAAAATTTGTGACATAAAATCGAGAAAATGAAAATTAAAAAAATCGGGAAAATGAAACATAAAAATCGAGAACTTAAAAATTGAGGAAACGAAAAATTGAAAATGACAAAAATTAAAAACTGAGAATGTGAAAAATCGAAAAATGAGAAACTGTAATATCGAAAAATTGGAAAATTTGGAAGTCGATAAATTGTAAAATTGAAAAACCAAAAATAAAAAAACGAAAAAGTGTATAATTAAAGCCTAAAAAATGTACAAAGTGAAAATCAGACTTAAAAATTTGAAGAAAAATTGATAAAAACCTGAAAATTTTAAAAATGTCATAAAGGAAAAATTGTAAAATCGAAAGAAGCAACAAAAAATAAAGGAAATCAAAAAAAGGAAAATTGTGATAGAAAATCGAAAAAGTGAAAATTAAAAAATTGGGAAAATGAAAAATAAAAATCGGAAACAAAAAATTGGAAACGGGAAAAATGAAAAATTGAAAAACTGAAAAATCAAAAATGAAAATCTGTAATACTGAAAAATTGCCAAATTGAAAAACTGATGCAAGCCGAAAAATTGAAGGAACGAAAAATTGAAAATTTTGGAAGTCGAGAAATTGTAAAATTGAAAAATTAAAAATAAAAAACGAAAAATTACAAAATGAAAACTTGAAAAATCTTAAGAATCGAAAAAATGAAAAATCAAAAAAAAATATGTATTATGAAATAGAAATATTTAAAATTAAAGAAATTGGAAAATCAGAAGACTGGAAATCCAAAAACTGCAAAGTGAAAAATGGACGAACTGAAAATTCAAAGCCTGAAAATTTGAAAAATTGAACAAATGAAAAATTGTAAAATCAAAAAAAAACACAGAAAATAAAGGAAATGAAGAAACGGACAATTGTGATATAAATCGAGAAAATAAAAATTAAAAACTCGCCACACTGAAAAAAAAAATCGGGAACATGAAAAATTGTGGAAACGAAAAATTCAGAAACTGAAAATTCGAAAAATTGAAGAAACGAAAAATTGAAAACTCGAAAGAAACAACAAAAAATAAAGGAATTGAAAAAATGAAAATTTGTGACATAAAATCGAGAAAATGAAAATAAAAAAAATCGGGAAAATGAAAAATAAAAATCGAGAACTTAAAAATTGAGGAAACGAAAAATTGAAAATGACAAAAATCAAAAACTGAGAATGTGAAAAATCGAAAAATGAGAAACTGTAATATCGAAAAATTGGAAAATTTGGAAGTCGATAAATAGTAAAATTGAAAAATCAAAAATAAAAAAACGAAAAAGTGTATAATTAAAACCTAAAAAATGTACAAAGTGAAAATCAGACTTGAAAATTTGTAGAAAAAATTGCTAAAAACCTGAAAATTTGAAAAATTTAATAAAGGAAAAATTGTAAAATCGAAAGAAACAACAAAAAATAAAGGAAATCAAAAAAGGGAAAATTGTGGTATAAAATCGAAAAAGTGAAAATTAAAAAATTGGGAAAATGAAAAATAAAAATCGGAAACAAAAAATTGGAAACGGGAAAAATGAAAAATTGAGAAACTGAAAAGTCGAAAAATGAAAATCTGTAATACTGAAAAATTGCCAAATCGAAAAACTGATGCAAACCGAAAAATTGAAGGAAAGAAAAATTGCGAATTTTGGAAGTCGAGAAATTGTAAAATTGAAAAATCAAAAATAAAAAACGAAAAATTACAAAATGAAAACTTGAAAAATCTTAAGAATCGAAAAAGTGAAAAATCAAAAAAAAAAATGTATTATGAAATAGAATATTTAAAATTAAAGAAATTGGAAAATCAGAAGACTGGAAATCCAAAAACTGCAAAGTGAAAAATGGACGAACTGAAAATTCAAAACCTGAAAATTTAAATAATTGAACAAATGAAAAATTGTAAAATCAAAAAAAAACACAGAAAATAAAGGAAATGAAGAAACGGACAATTGTGATATAAATCGAGAAAATAAAAATTCGCCACACTGAAAAATGAAATTTTGTGACATAAAATCGAGAAAATGAAAATTAAAAAAATCGGGAAAATGAAAAATATAAATCGAGAACTTAAAAATTGAGGAAACGAAAAATTGAAAATGACAATAATTAAAAACTGAGAATGTGAAAAATCGAAAAATGAGAAACTGTAATATCGAAAAATTGGAAAATTTGGAAGTCGATAAATTGTAAAATTGAAAAATCAAAAATAAAAAAACGAAAAAGTGTATAATTAAAACCTAAAAAATGTACAAAGTGAAAATCAGACTTGAAAATTTGAAAAAAAATTGCTAAAAACCTGAAAATTTTAAAAATTTAATAAAGGAAAAATTGTAAAATCGAAAGAAACAACAAAAAATAAAGAAAATCAAAAAAAGGAAAATTGTGGCATAAAATCGAAAAAGTGAAAATTAACAAATTGGGAAAATGAAAAATAAAAATCGGAAAAAAAAATTGGAAACGGGAAAAATGAAAAATTGAGAAACTGAAAAATCGAAAAATGAAAATCTGTAATACTGAAAAATTGCCAAATTGAAAAACTGATGCAAACCAAAAAATTGAAGGAAAGAAAAATTGCGAATTTTGGAAGTCGAGAAATTGTAAAATTGAAAAATCAAAAATAAAAAACGAAAAATTACAAAATGAAAACTTGAAAAATCTTAACAATCGAAAAAGTGAAAAATTAAAAAAAAATCTGTATTATGAAATAGAAATATTTAAAATTAAAGAAATTGGAAAATCAGAAGACTGGAAATCCAAAAACTGCAAAGTGAAAAATGAATGAACTAAAAATTCAAAGCCTGAAAATTTGAAAAATTGAACAAATGAAAAATTGTAAAATCAAAAAAAAAACACAGAAAATAAAGGAAATGAAGAAACGGTCAATTGTGATACAAATCGAGAAAATAAAAATTAAAAATTCGCTACACTGAAAAATAAAAATCGGAAACATGAAAAATTGTGGAAACGAAAAATTCAGAAACTGAAAATTCGAAAAATTGAAGAAACGAAAAATTGAAAACTCGAAAGAAACAACAAAAAATAAAGGAATAAAAAAATGAAAATTTGTGACATAAAATCGAGACAAATACTACTTCCGATTAATTTTCTAGTATATTATCTGCAAATTCGGCGGCTTTAAAATTACCGCCATACGAATTTTACAAATATTAATTGTTTATAAATTTAAAATAAAATAATGTTGGAGATATGCAACCCATGATTCAAATTCTTGGTACGTCCCTGGCACAAACTGCGAGAAACTATCATAAGAGGGCGCAACGATCGCAAAACCCAATGACAGTTAATTGACATCTGACAACCATCTCGTAAACAAAATGCTCGAAACGTAATAAAATCACCCATTCTTCCTATTTTCTCTCAACAATCAACATCATGACCGCAGTACTGAAAAAACGGGCCCTGGCTGAATACACCCAAACAATCCAAGTACGTATCCCCCCTTCAAAAAAGTGAGGTTATAACACCCAATTTCAGGAAACATTCCCCTCACAACCCATCAAAAAACTCCGCCTGGTCAAGAAAACCCCCGCAGGCACCGGCAACTCGTCCCTCGCCCTCATCAGCTGCCTCGAAAGCAGCAAAAGCAGCAGCGAAGCCCTACGCACCCTCCTGCGAGTCTCCGACACTTTCGAGCTCGAGCCCAACGACATCCCCGAAGCCGTGAAGAAACTGAGCGACCACTTCAAGAACGAGCCCGAATCCGCCGTCAGAGTCAAGATTTTGTCGCTGCTGTCGGACGTGGGGCACCTCCTAGGCGCCGACGTGGTGGCAATCATCGACGAGACGATCCTCCTGCTGAAGAACGACCACTCGCATAAGGTGATAGCGCAGGGGATGAACACGGTGCTGAAGTTGGGGAAACTGGTGCCGGACAGTGCGGCGGCGTTACACCAAAAGCTGGTTGATATTGCGAAGGGGTACCTCAAGGACGTGAGTCACGCGGTGAAGTGCAAGTGTTTGGAGATTATTGGGGTGCACGCACCGGTTTGCACGGGGGCGGAGGCCGAGAAGTTGATGGTTTTGGTTAGTTTGTATTTTAGTAATGAGGACGCGAGGGTGAGGAGTCAGGCGTTTTCCACGATTATTACGTTGCATGAGAGGTCGTTTAAAATTAATCCCGATATTTACGTGGATGTGTGTGAGGCTTTGAAGGACGACTACGAGATTGTGAGGCAGGTGGTCTTGAAGTTGGTGTGTTTATTGGGAAATACGTATCCAGAAAAGTGAGTTTTTTTATTTATTTTTTGTTTTTTTAATTGAGTTTGTGGTTGTAGCGAGGTTCTGCTCCCTGGAAGCGAGCACGAGATTCGCTTAATCGATGACGCTTTTGGTAAAGTGTGTAACGCTATGTCTGATTTGTCAATACATGTGAGGACTCTGGCGGCCAAACTTTTGGGCACAATGAAGCTTGTTAGTGCGAAATTTCTTAATCAGACGCTGGATAAAAAATTGATGTCAAATATGAGGCGAAAGGTTTGTTTTTGATTTTTTTTTTTTCGAAATTTATTTTATTTGCTTTAGAGAACTGCCCATGAACTGGCGTGGGAAAATGTGACCAGTGGAGAATGGGCTAGCGGGAAAAAATGGGCAGACGACGCCCCAAGAGAAGTCCTAGATGCCGATAGCATCAATTTAATGAGCAGTGGGGCCTGTGGGGCCTTTGTTCACGGTTTAGAAGACGAATTTCTAGGTACTTTAAAAAAAACAATCACCATTTTCAATTTTCGTTTTTTTTTTTTTTTTGTCATTCTAGAGGTTCGTTCCGCCGCCGTAGAATCCCTCTGCGAGCTCTCCATCCGCAACCCGCAGTTCGCCAACACCTCCCTCGATTTCCTGGTGGACATGTTCAACGACGAGATCGAGGACGTGCGTCTGAAAGCGATTGATAGTCTGAGACGCATTTCCGAGCACATTATTTTGCGCGACGACCAGCTGGAGACGATTCTGGGGGCCCTTGAGGACTTCTCTCAAGACGTGCGCGAAGGTTTGCACCGGATGTTGGCGTCGTGTAAGATGTCCACGACTGCTGGCTTAAAAATGTGCGTGGAGAAGCTTTTGGATAATTTGAAGAAGTATCCGCATGATAAGAGGTCCACGTATAGGTGTCTGCAGAGGATAGGGGCCCAACATCCCGAGTTAGTTTTGCCGTTGGTGCCGCAGCTGCTGAATATACATCCGTTTTTTGATACGGCGGAGCCGGACGTGGAAAATCCACAATGTATCCTTTAATTTATTTTTTTTTTCATAACGTCTAGAGTACGAAAAAATAGGTCTCCTGTTTCCGTCTGTCTGTCTGTCTGTCTATATATTTAAAATTACCTGACCGATTGTCATCAAATTTTGTATGTATATTGGGAATATCAGTAGATGGTAAAACGCTAACCAAAATATGTCTGATAATCTCCACCAACAATGGAATGACGCCATCTCCAAATTTTATATAGTAAATATTTAAATTATATAAAATAACGTACTCCTCCACTTGTGGTTTATAAATGCGTGTCGACCCTAAGTATCCAAGTTTTTGGAAAAAAAATCAAATTTGTATAATATTTTACAATTTAACTTCGAAATTGTAAAATCGAATGTTTTGAAATCTTACAAGCGTTTTAAGGTTATCGTTAATCAAAATTTATCTGTGCGAGTTCACGATTTTAATTTTTCGATTACAGTTTGGGGATTTTTCAATTTCTCAATTCTTGGGATTTTTGATTTTTCGACTTTTCCATTTCTAGAATATTCGACTTTCTGATTTCTCGGTTTCTCAATTTTCCGATTTCAGTTTGGGTTTTCGGTTTGCCGATTCTTCGAATTTTTAGTTTTTCGATTTCTCAATTTTCCGATATTTCGACTTTTCAATTTTTGGCATTTTTTTTAATTTTCGATTTTCTGATTTTTCGATTTCAGTTTAGGGATTTTTCAATTTGTCGTTTTTTCGAATTTTGGATTTTTCTATTTCTCGATTTCTCAATTTTCAGATTTTTGGATTATTCAATTTTCCGATTTTTCAATTTTTGGCGTTTGTAAATATTCGATTTTCCGATTTCTCATTTTACGATTAATCGAGTTTTTGATTTTTCGACTTTTTCATTTCTAGATTTTTCGACTTTCTGATTTCTCGATTTTTCAATTTTCCGATTTCAGTTTAGGAATTTTTCAATTTGTCGATTCTACGTTTTTTATTTTTCCATCTCTCAATTTTCCGATTTTTCCATTATTCAATTTTGCGATTTTTCAATTTTTGGCGTTTTTAAATTTTCGATTTTCCGATTTCTCAATTTTACAATTATTCGAGTTTTTGATTTTTTGACTTTTTCATTTCTAGATTTTTCGAGTTCCTGATTTCTCGGTCTTTCAGTTTTTCGATTTCAGATTGGGGATTTTTCAATTTGTTGATTCTTCGATTTTTCATTTTTCGTTTTCCTAATTTTCGATTTTTCGACTTCTCAATTTCACGATTAACCGATTTTTTTATTTTTTCACTTTTCCATTTCTATATTTTTCGCCTTTTTGTTTTTTCAAATTTTCAATTTCCCAAGTTTTCGGTGTTCAGTTGAAATTTTTCAATTTTGAGGTTTTTCAATGTTTCGATATTATAATTTTTCGATTTTTGACTTTTCGATTTTTCGACTTCTCACGATTAGATTTTTTTTTTAGAATTTTAAAGATTTTTGATTTTTCAATTTATCGAGTTTTCGATATTCTGGTTTTTCGATTTATCGGTTTTTTTTATTTAAAATTTCAGTGTTGAATGTTTAATTTTTCGAATTGGACTATTCTGATTTCTCAAATTTTCAATTTTTCCGTTTGAATTTCTCGATTTTTTGACGCTAAATTTTTAAATTTTTGGATTTCTAAGTTTTGCGATTAATCGATTTTTCGACTCTCCGATTTTTCAGATTTGTGTTTTTTGAATACATACTTCTGTTTTTCAATTTTTCGACTTTTCGATTTTTTCATTTTTACTTTTTCGATTTTTTAAATTTTACATTTTTCAATTTTTCGAGTTTTTGATTTCCCGATTTTTCAGTTTTTCTATTTTTCAATTTTCGGAATTTTTTATTTTAGATTCTTCACTTTTTGAAGTTTCGATTTCCCGTTCTTACGCATTTTCCACTTCTTGCTTTTCGATTTTTGATTTTTCAATTTTCAGATTTTTAAAATTTTTCGACATTTCAAATTTGGGATTTTTTAATTTTCCGAATTCAGATTTTTTCCATTTTTGGCGTTTTAAAATTTTCAGTTTCTCAATTTTTGCGATTCTTTTTTTGGTTTTTCGACTTTTCGATTTCTAGATTTTTCAACTTTTCGATTTTTAGATTTTATTATTTCGCGATTATTCAATTTTTCAATTTCTCTTTTTTTTTCATTTTTTCATATTTTTAAATTTTTCACATTTTTGATAGTTCTGTTCTTTTCTTCGTTTTTAGATTTTTCACTCTTTCAATTTTTCGATTTTTTAAATTTTACATTGTTCATTTTTCCATTTTTCGATATTTCGATTTCCCGATTTTTAATTTTTCGACTGCCCAATTTTTCGATATTTAAATTTTGGGGATTTTTCAATTTATCGATTCTTTTATTGCTCGATTTTTCGAATTTTTGATTTCTCGATTTTTTTTGTTTTTCGAATTGTCAATGTTCCGACACTTCAGTTTAACGATTTTTTTTTCATTTTTCGCATTTCTAAATTTTTGGATTTTTCAATTTCTCAGTTTTACGATTGATCGGTTTTTCAATTTTTCGACTTTTTGATTTTTACTTTCTCGGTTTTTCAAAATTTTTCGATTTTTTAAAATAAAGACTTTTAGGTTTTTCACTTTTTTGACGTTTCGAGTTCTCGATCTTTTGATTTTTCGACTTCTCGCTTTTAAATTTTTCAATTCTTCGATTTTTCTATTCATCGGTTTTTAAATGTTTCAACTTTGAATTTTATATTTTTGATCTTTCCATTTTTCTGTTTTACCATTTTTGATGTTTCGACTTCCTGTTTTTACATTTTTTAAAATGTATCACAATTTTTCGAATTTTCGATTTCTCGACATCTCGGCTTCCCGATTTTTTAATTTTCCGAATTTTCGTTTTTTCGATTTCTCGATTTTTCCAATTTCGTTTTCTCTTTATTTTTTTTTTAATTTTTTCTCTCGTCACTGTTAGATTTTTCGGTTTTTCGATTTTCTGATTCTTAAATTTTCCATTTTTGATTTTTCCATTTTTTGATTTCCCGATTTTTGATCGATCGCTCAATTTTTCAGTATTTAAATTTAGGGATTTTTCGACTTCTCAATTTTATTATTTCTCGATTTCTCAATATTCCCATATTTCAGTTTTGCAGTTAAACGATTTTTTTGATTTTTCGTGTTCTTTTTCGTTTTTTTCAACTTTCCTGTGTCTCGATTTTTCAATTTTTGGACTTATTAATTTTTTTATTTTTTCGGTTTTTCAAGTTTTTTCAATTTTTTTGAATTAGAATTTTTAGATTTTTCTATTTCTCGATCTTTGGATTTTTCAATTGTTCAATTTTTCTATTTATTGGTTTTTTAAATTTGAATGTTTCAATTTTGAATTTTTCGATTTTTTAAATTTTGTATTTTTGGTTTTTCCATTTTTCGATTTACGATTTTTGTTGTTTCAATCTCCTGTTTCTACTTTTTTCAAAATTAACCTCGCTTTTTCGAATTTTTCAATTTCTCGACATCTTCTCGAGTTTTTTATTTTCCGGATTTTCGTTTTTTCGGTTTCTCGATTTTTCAAATTTTCGGTGTCTTTTTTCCATTATTTCAAATTTCTAAGTTTTAAATTTTTCACTTTTTTGATGGTTCAATTTTTCGATCTCGTTTTATCCACTTCTCGATTTTAGAATTTTCGGTTTTTCGATTTTCGGATTCTTAAATTTTCCATTTTTGATTTTTCCATTTTTTGATTTCCCGATTTTTGATCGCTCACTCAATTTTTCAATATTTAAATTTAGGGATTTTTCGACTTCTCAATTTTATTATTTTTCGATTTCTCAATATTCCCATATTTCAGTTTTGCAGTTAAACGATTTTTTTGATTTTTCGTGTTCTCGAATTTTCGACTTTTCGTTTTTTTCAACTTTCCTGTGTCTCGATTTTTCAATTTTTGGACTTATTAATTTTTTTATTTTTTCGGTTTTTCAAGTTTTTTCAATTTTTTTGAATTAGAATTTTTAGATTTTTCACCTTTTTGATTTTTCTATTTCTCGATCTTTGGATTTTTCAATTGTTCAATTTTTCTATTTATTGGTTTTTTAAATTTGAATTTTTCGATTTTTTAAATTTTGTATTTTTGGTTTTTCCATTTTTCGATTTACGATTTTTGTTGTTTCAATTTCCTGTTTCTACTTTTTTCAAAATGAACCTCGCTTTTTCGAATTTTCAATTTCTCGACATCTTCTCGAGTTTTTTATTTTCCGGATTTTCGTTTTTTCGGTTTCTCGATTTTTCAAATTTTCGGTGTCTTTTTTCCATTATTTCAAATTTCTAAGTTTTAAATTTTTCACTTTTTCGATCTCGTTTTATCAACTTCTCGATTTAAGAATTTTCGGTTTTTCGATTTTCCGATTCTTAAAATTTTTCATTCTTGATTTTTCATGGTTTCGATATTTCGATTCTTCGATTTATCGTTTTTTTTTTTTTAAGTTTAAATGTTTCACGTTTAAATTTTTCGATTTTTTAAATTTCACATTTTGTTTTTTCTATTTTAGGATTTTTTGATATTTCGATTTCCTTATTTTTACTTTTTCGATTGCTCAATTTTAAGGGATTTTTCGATTTCTCGAATTTATTATTTTTCAAATTCTCAATATTCCGATATTTCAGTTTTACGATTAAACGATTTTTTCATTTTTCGTATTTCTCGACTTTTCGGTTTTTCAAAATTTTTCGATTTTTTTAAATTTAGGTTTCTAGATTTTCCAGTTTTTTACATTATTTAAAATATGTCTCAATTTTTCGAATTTTCGATTTCTCGACACTCGGCTTCTCGATTTTAAAATTTTCCGAAATTTCGTTTTTTCGATTTCTCCATTTTTCAAGTTTTACATTTCTCAATTTTTGAAATTTTTTGAAAGACGCGAGATTTGTTGGACCGGACTTCAGAAACAAGAGAAGTTCTATCAAAATGACCTTCAACCAATTTTTTTTTATTGTCAAAATAGTTGGCGCTGTTTTTATTTGTCCTTGACTTAAGTAGATATATGTGTTTTGATTTTGGTCTTGAATGCGGCCAAATGGTCACCCACTATCATTCCCTTGTTGGAACCGCACACCCTCCGACATTACGCCTACATCAGTGACACCATGCCAACTTTGGTACCGGTGCTAAGTCTCCCCGACTCAAGCTGCAACGCCATCTCGCGGCCCCAAACCGTTCCAGAGAGTCTCGAATTTTTGAACAACGTCATATCGAACTTGGACATGACGGAGAACACCCTCAGGTACATAAATCAGCTACCAATTTAATAATAATAATAATAATAATGTTTAGGGTGCAGACCACCCTCCTCCAGACCGCCAAGGAGCACCTCAACCGCCTCTCCGAAATCGACTCCTCCGTCGCCGGCACCGCCCAGTTCACCTCCCTCTACATCGGCGCCCAGCTCATCATGTCCCAGATCCTCGAGAAGGGCTACTGGCTCAACCCCGCCACCCTCGCCACCCAGCAAGCCAACAACCTCCAAACCAACATCAAGAACCTCCTCGAGTACTGCCTCAAGCTCCAGTTCTTCTTCGTGGGCTTCAGCCCCGTCGAGGAGTGCACCGTCAAGATGTTCCGGCTGCGCGCCCTCGCCCTGAACCTCGTCTACATAGTCAAGGGCAGCAACGCGTCGGCGTTGGCCCCATGCCACCACTTCCTCACCGTCGTGGAGGACATGCAGCGGGACCTGTCGCTGGCGGGCCTGGAGCCGGACGGCTTCACGGCGGCGGTGTTCCGGGAGCTGTCCGTCCTGGAGGAGCCCAAGCCGGGCACGGTGTCCAGGATCCTCATCCCGATCCTGTCGGAGGCCAAGCTGGTGCGCATCCCGCGGCCGAACACGCAGATCCGGATGAGCTCGGCCGAGATCGTGGAGCCGACGGGGCAGACGGACACGTCGCTGAAGTTCACGGCGGGGCTGGTGATGGCGGTGAGGTTCGAGGCGGAGTTGAGGCACCTGAACGATCCGAGCAGGGTGAGGTTGAAGGTGAAGTACCCGGATCAGAAGACGCAGGTGATTTTGCCGCGGCCGGCGCACTTGAAGCCGTGGTATTTGGACGGAAGTGACGAAGGTTTGGTGTCGATTTCGTCTAACTATGACATTATATTATTGGTTGCAGATTCTCAAACGGGTCACAATTTGAGGCTGTTGACCTCGGTTCTGGTTTCGCATCAGGTTTGGTCGGAAGCTTGCAATGTGGAAATTAATGTGGCTTTGGCGATTCCTGAGGCCGATATTGGGAAGAGGAAGGCCAGTATAGGTGCTACACCTACGCTGATCGATTTGTGCAAGCCGGTTAAAGTCAGTGTGGCGCCGAAGCCGATTAAAAGAACGCTTTAAGTGTTTATGAAATGGTGTGTATTTTTCTATCAGCAAGTTTAACAAATATAGAATTTTTAAGTTTTTATCAGTGTTTTTTTATTTTAAACCCTCAAGAGAAATGTCAGTTTTCTCAAACTGTGGATCTAGAATCATTTTTGCAATATTACTTCTTGAAATAACAATTAAAAATTGAAAACAATTTTCAAAAATTTCCAAAAAACTTTTGAAAATGTCATAATTCTTCGCAAATAACCAATCTAAAATTATTTTAACAAAATTTTTTGAATAATCCAGAAAAATGGAAAACCTTTCAAAAAGTTTCCAAATTTTCTTTGAAAAAAGGTCCATTCACGTGGAAGAAAGAATTCTTCACATAATAAGTACGAATCTGAAATCATTTTTTCGTGATGCCTGATCAAAATATAAAAAATTGGAATGAGATTTTCAAAAATTCCATTTTTTTAATAATGAATGTGATGTAAAAAAAATGAAACAAAAATTTCCAAACAATTTTGTAAATAAACAAATTTATCAAAGAATTGATAAACAGAAGAATCGAAAAACTAAGAAATCGAATTGAGAAATTGAAACATCGAGAAATCGGAACATCAAGAAATTTAGAAATCGAAAAAGAGAAAAATCGAAATCCGAAAAATTGAAAAATCGAAAAATCCCAAAATTTAAAAAATCCTTCACTGAAACATCGAAAAATTGAATAATCAAGAAATGGAAAGTCGAAAAATCGAGAAAATCGAAAGGTCGAAAAATTTAAAAAATGGATTAACGGTAAAATCGGGAAATCGAAAGTTCAGAAACGCTGAAATCCAAAAGTCGAAAAATCGAGTAATCGATAAATTGAGAAATCGAAATAAGCCAAAATCGAAAAGTTCAAAATTGAAACATTTAAACTTAAAAAAACGAAAAATTGAAAAAACTAAAAAATCGAAATCTCGATAAAATTGAAAAATCAAAAAATTGAGAAATCGAAATAGTCCAAAATCGAAAAAGTGAAAAACCAAAATCTGAAAAATTGAAAAATCGAAAAATATAAAAACCGAAAATTTGAAAAATCAAAATAAAATAATCGATTAATCGAAAAATCGAAAGTTGAAAAACGCCAAAAATCGAGAAATCAATAAATTGAGAAATCGTAATGGCCCATAATCGAAAAATTCAAAACTGAAACATTTAAACTTAAAAAACGAATAAATCGGAAAATTGAAAAAACAAAAAAATCAAAATCTCGATTAAATTGAAAAATATAAAGCTGAAAAATCTCAAAATTGAAAAATCCAAAACTGAAACACCGAAAAATTGAAAAATCAAAAATCGAAAAATCTCAAACTGAAATATCGAAAACTTAAAAAATCGGAAAATTGAACAACCTAGGAATGGAAAATCGCTAAATCGAGAGGTCGACTAATAGTATAATTGAAAAGTCGAAAAATCGAAACATCAAAAAAGTGAAAAATCGTAGCTTTTAAAAATCCAAAAATGGAAATATTGAAAAAATGAAAAATCTATAAATTGAAATATTCTCAAAATTGAAATGTTGAAAAAAAAATTTTTAATCGGGAAATCGAAACATCAAAAAATCGTAAAAACGAAAAATGAGAAAATGAGAAAATCTAAAACTTAAAAAATCGGAAAACTGAAGAATCGAAAATCTGAAAAACCCGGAAATTGAAAAACCCCATATCTGAAATGTCGAAAAATGCCAAATCGAAAAATTGGAAAATCAAAGAACCGTCTCTAAGACGAAAAATTGTAACATAGAGAAATCAAAACATAAAAAGATTGAAAAATTGAGAAATCAAAATAGCCCAAATTCGAAAAATCGAAAAATTCAAAATTGAAACATTTGAACTTACAAAAAAAAAAGAATAAATTGAAAAACTGAAAAATCGAGAACGAAAAATTGAAAAATCAAAAACTGAAAAATCGAAAAATATAAATACCGAAATATTGAAAAATCGAAAAAAATCAGAAATCAAAAAATTGTAAAATCAAAAAATCGAAAGATCTCAAAACTGAAAAACAACTGAACCATCGAAAACTTGAGAAATCGAAAAACTGAAAAATCAAGAAATGGAAAAGCGAGAAATCGAAACATCAAAAAGTGAAAAATCATATTTAAAAATCTAAAAATGAAAATATCGAAAAATTGAAAAATCCATAAATTCAAACATTCCCAAAATTGAAATGTTGAAAAAGTGAGAAATCGAAAACTTGAAAAATCGAGAAATCAGAAAAAACGAAGTCTTGATAAATCGGAGAGATCGAAATCTTGATAAATCGAGAAATCGAAAAATTGAAAAATCAGGAACTGAAAAATCCAAAAATTTTAAAAACCGAAAAATTGGAAAAAATGAAACGAAAAATTGAGAATCAAAAAATCGAAAAATCCCAAAATTGAAAAATCCCAAACTGAAACAGTGAAAACTTGAAAAATCAAGAATTGGAAAGTTGAAAAACCGAGAAATCGAAATTGAAAAACCGAGAAATCGAAATTGAAAAACCGAGAAATCGAAACATCAAAAAATCCAAAATTGAAAAATCGAAAAATATAAAAACCAAAAAATCTCAAAATTGAAAAATCCCAACCTGAAACAACGAAAAATTGGAAAAATCAAGAAATGTAAAGTCGAGAAATCGAAAGGTCCAAAATAAAAAATCGTAAAATTGAGGAATCGAAAAACTGAAAAATCAAGAAATGGAAAAGTGAGAAATCGAAACATCAAAAATGTGAAAAATCATAATTATTTAAAAATCTAAAAATGAAAATATCGAAAAATTGAAAAATCCATAAATTCAAACATTCCCAAAATTGAAATGTTGAAAAAAGTGAGAAATCGAAAACTTGAAAAATCGAGAAATTGAAAAATCTCAAACTGAAACAGTGAAAACTTGAAAAATCAAGAGTTGGAAAGTTGAAAAACCGAGAAATCGAAACATCAAAAAATCCAAAATTGAAAAATCGAAAAATATAAAAACCAAAAAATCTCAAAATTGAAAAATCCCAACCTGAAACAACGAAAAATTGGAAAAATCAAGAAATGTAAAGTCGAGAAATCGAAAGGTCCAAAATAAAAAATCGTAAAATTGAGGAATCGAAAAACTGAAAAATCAAGAAATGGAAAAGCGAGAAATCGAAACATCAAAAATGTGAAAAATCATAATTATTTAAAAATCTAAAAATGAAAATATCGAAAAATTGAAAAATCCATAAATTCAAACATTCCCAAAATTGAAATGTTGAAAAAAGTGAGAAATCGAAAACTTGAAAAATCGAGAAATTGAAAAATCTCAAACTGAAACAGTGAAAACTTGAAAAATCAAGAGTTGGAAAGTTGAAAAACCGAGAAATCGAAACATCAAAAAGTCCAAAATTGAAAAATCGAAAAATATAAAAACCAAAAAATCTCAAAATTGAAAAATCCCAACCTGAAACACCGAAAAATTGAAAAATCAAGAAATGTAACGTCGAGAAATCGAAAGGTCCAAAATAAAAAATCGTAAAATTGAGGAATCGAAAAACTGAAAAATCAAGAAATGGAAAAGCGAGAAATCGAAACATGAAAAAAGTGAAAAATCATAATTATTTAAAAATCTAAAAATGAAAATATCGAAAAATTGAAAAATCAATAAATTCAAACATTCCCAAAACTGAAATGTTGAAAAAGTGAGAAATCGAAAACTTGAAAAATCTCAAAACTGAAAAATCCCAAACTGAAACAGTGAAAACTTGAAAAATCAAGAATTGGAAAGTTGAAAAACCGAGAAATCGAAATTGAAAAACCGAGAAATCGAAACATCAAAAAATCCAAAATTGAAAAACCAAAAAATCTCAAAATTGAAAAATCCCAACCTGAGACATCGAAAAATTGAAAAAATCAAAAAATGTAACGTCGAGAAATCGAAAGGTCCAAAATAAAAAAATCGTAAAATTGAGAAATCGAAAAACTGAAAAATCAAGAAATGGAAAACCGAGAAATCGAAACGTGAAAAAAGTGAAAAATCATAATTATTTAAAAATCTAAAAATGAAAATATCGAAAAATTGAAAAATCCATAAATTCAAACATTCCCAAAATTGAAATGTTGAAAAAGTGGGAAATCGAAAACTTGAAAAATCTCAAAACTGAAAAATCTCAAACTGAAACAGTGAAAACTTGAAAGTCAAGAATTGGAAAGTTGAAAAACCGAGAAATCAAAAAATCCAAAATTGAAAAATCGAAAAATCCCAAAATTGAAAAATCCCAACCTGAAACATCGAAAAATTGAAAAAATCAAGAAATGTAAAGTCGAGAAATCGAAAGGTCCAAAATAAAAAAATTGGTCTAAAGAGTTTAGAAGTACTTCCCTCGCTGTCGAAAACGTCACGACTGCATGTCTATTCTGTTTTTTTTCGCAGTAGATTTCATTTTTTTTTTGAGTCACCCGATATATGCAAATTCAAAAAATATGAATGAAATGATAAATTACAAGTACAGACTCATCATATTTTGTATATTCTAGATAGGATTTATTCGGCAAACTTTTGAGCTGACGTCATCAGTTTTTTGTAGAAGATAACCAAATATATTTTGACTAAAAATTTATTATGCTCTTTATAACCTTAAAACATTTGCAAGATTTCAAAACATTCGGTTCTGGAGTTCCTGATTAAATCAATAAAATACATTTACCCATTCATTAATTTTTTTGGGTCACCCTGTATATGCAAATCCAAAAACTATGAATGTAATGATAAATCACAAGAAAAGACTCATCATATTTTGTACATTTTAGATATGATTTATTCGGCAAAATTTTGTGGTGACGTCATATATTTTTTAGGGGGGATGAGCAAATACATTTTGATCAAAAACTTACCATTCTTATGGTAACTTTAAAACATCTCCAAGATTTCAAAGCATTCGATTCTGTAATTCCTGATTAAATCAATAAAATAAATTGACGCATTCATTAATATTTTTCAGTCACCCTGTATATGCAAATCGAAAAAATTTGAATGGAATGATAAATCACAAGAAGAGACTCGCCATATTTTGTACATTTTAGATAGAATTTATTCAGCAAAA